AAATATATAGATTTTGAATGTTTTATAACAAACCAACATGTCGTTCATCGCTGGTGAGGGTCACTTCCTGTGGTCACGTCTCTGTCGTAAAACTTGACCAGCCCTGAGGCATTTAGACCTTTTTAGACCCTAATTTAAGGTATTTTCCTTCAACTTTGAATCATTTTTTGGGGGTAATTTTGAAGTGTAGCAGAAGAGTTAAGCACTTTGAGTCGCCTTGTGGTTTTGATCCGTGCTATATATATAAACTTACCTTTCTACAAAGACGTCTCAAATGTAGCTCCATAAAATAACTGCACCTGACGTCACCTTCTCAGACTAACACCCACAGTAGAAGTAAACATATTCCAGATAAGTCATAAAGAAAATAACGTGTGTAGTAACATGTCGGATCTCGCTGCTCTCTGAAATTAGCCACGACTTAATTTCAAAGCCGCAGGAAATAAAAGCCCAGAATGTTTTCCTGATAAAGTCTGGATCTTTGCCAAAAACTGGGAAGGGTTTGAGTGACTTTCACCAACCGCTGCTGAGAAATGTCTTCCTGAAAACTCGATATTAGGACATCAAGAGTGGTTTGAAATGTCTGATGTTTTAGTTGAGAAAGTTAAACAATTTACACTCATATTGAAGGTATAGTTTTTTTGTGTTTTTCAGAGCTGCTCTGTCAGGCCAGATTATTCAAAAGATTTAAAAAACAGTCCCACACAATTCACCAAAACTCAAAGTATTCAAACTTCCTGTTACGCTTTAGTAAAATCTGGACTTTTTCACAAATTATAAGTCCATCCGACCGTCTCAAACACAGCAGTCATTTTAAAGTGTGTTTTGTCTGAATATTCAGTGTCTGTAAAAGGACTTCAGCCTTTTCTGAGTGAAATGTAGTTATAATAAAACGTATTTTAAACAACAAATCAAGAGAAGTTTTATTGAAATGTATTGATCTCACACTGGAGAAATATACAAATTTACAAATCAATCAAAATAGTAATTTCTCCGTAGTTTGTCCTTTGCCGATGCCGGAGGATCAAAGGACAAAACGCCCGATATTCAACAATGTTCATAGACTTGATCAACATATGGACCAATGTCTCTATAACTCAGGGGTGTCAAACTTATTTTGGTTGAGGGCCGAATAAAAAAAGAAAGGGCTGGTCAGGGGCCGAAGTGTGTTTAATTTATAAATTTTGTTTGAATATGAAGGTTTCTAAATAAATGAATAGTTTCACATTAGTTGGATTGGACATTTCCCGTGGACTGAACCAAAACTGAACCAAATATTGAAGGTATTTAGGACGATTTTCTACTTCCGAGTGATCATCGAGCCTATTGGTCCTCCCAACTGTCAATCATTCTGGTGATTTGTGCTCGTCAAATAACACCAAAGAGTTTTGTTCAAAAAGTGGCGAGGGCGGTTCTTTCCTACGAAAATTGGGGAATCCTCCTTCATATCTTTAAGGAGAAATGTAAAAAACACAACAAAACAACACTAACTTCTAATGACATGTTGGTTGAATATTTCTGATGGAATTAAACGGTTATGGTTGTTTTGTTAGAAATGGATTGTCGCCTATACCATTAATTTAATATAATCATTTAAAATCATCTCAAGGGCCACTGAAAATGGTCTCGCGGGCCTTGACTTTGACACCTGTGCTGTAACTGATCTGTGTTGCAGATTTCAACAGTTGTGTAAAGTCCTCCAGGAGAGAGCTACTGTTGTGATTTAGGGCTATACAATAATACATTGAATTGAGTTGAAATGATGGATTTATGCAAAAACAAATGATTAAATATCCCACACCATTTATTTTAAGTTAAGTGACGCTACAATGTCATCATCAACGTTGATTTGTGTTCGGAATATGGTTCAGGTCATCCATCCTGTGTCAGACTGTGCAGAGAGGTCTATCGCCTCAGGAACCAGTTTTAACGCAAGATTTATTTAAGTATGATCCGTTTATGACAGCCCCCCTTTGCCCTGATCTTATCTCACAGCTCCGAGTGCTGAACGCTGCCGATGGTATGTGCTCAGATACAGTGGATGCTTCTGAGTTCCCCCCATGGAGAAAAGTCTGATGTTTTAGGGAGTTCGGAATGGCACATGAGGAAATGTCAAGGTGTACGTCCCCGAGCACCTCCTGTCCCATCGTCAGCTACAAAGGAAAAAGTACCGTGGTAGGAATCACAGTCCGGGCATGCCGCTGCTTCAAAGCATTTCTGATTTATCCCGGGAGAACTTTTGACCCGCGCTGGTTACGAATCATCACAATGTCATGCCATTTTTCAGCAAAGATAACATTATTTTTTGTTATCTTTTGACATGATCCCTATAAGTCACCGTGACCTGGTTTTGTGGCTCACAGATCTGTTTTGTAAAAATGGATAAGGATGGATGGAGAAAGAGAGCTAAATAAGTTTCTCTTGTTGCTTTTGTTAGATTTTCTGCACCACCCAAGCATTTCACATCTGTCTCTCTGTGTCTATATGAATAGTTCTCTTGCCAAAATAGATAAGTGTCATTAGAGAAATATCGGAGAGGCTTAAATTTGCTCTTTTAGCAAGGGCCCATTTGAAAACCGAGATGTATTTTAGTACCTTACATATAAAGGTTCATCTTTTTATGGACCAAGCTTTTCACATTTTCTGCCAATTACAAAACATGTTGAAGATTGTAGCGACAACTCCTTGACAAATGTTAAAAACTGATATTTGCTATTAAATCCCCATTGGTTACTGGTGCATTGTCCTTAGTCCATTTTCTAAGACGGTCAAGGCTGAAGGCGAAAGGTGCATTGTTTTCGGATTTACTGTATGTCCAAGAGTCCGCCTAAGTCCGCTTGAGTCCGCTTGGAGGTCATGTTACTCCCGGTAATATTATGAGACCAGTGTGTGTTGTATTGGGAAACATATATTGAAGACTTTCACTCTGGACACTCTTGACTCCATGAAATTACATGGATTTTACCTTCTTAAAATAATCACATGCGTCATTATTTTGACTTTTTTTTCACGAAACATGTACCATCACTAGAGGCCTTTCTACCAAATGTGGCCAGGATCACAAGGAGAAGATAAAAACTAAATTCAGATTAAAATGTTAAAAGACATATTTCTGTTTGTACCTGATTCTTCATCAATGGTGAACAGTCCCAGCCCAGAGCCGTCGTGAATGCGGTACCTCACGACTCCGTCTCGTCCTGCGTCTTTGTCCAACGCCATGAGGGTCGCCACGGAAGTCCCGACTGCTGCGTCCTCCATTATCGCTTCATCGTACACAAACTCGTCAAACACGGGTTTGTGGAGATTCTCATTGACGTCCAACACCTCGATCTCTACAAAACAAGACGAGGAGAGAGATCTGGGGAGTCCGTGGTCCACTGCTCGAACTGTGAGGTTGTAAAATGGCCTCCTCTCGAAATCCAACTCTCTTTCCAAAGTTAGGGCTCCAGTTTTGGAATCTAGATGGAAAATCCCATTGTTTTTGAGATTGTATGTGACCTGCCCGCCGCTGCCAAGATCCAAATCAACACTCTCTAACCAAACAAGAAGAGTCCCCACCGGCACATCCTCCGGGACTTTGACTTTGTAGACTTTTGGGTGGAATTTAGGCGGGTTGTCGTTGATATCTTCAAGAACAACGACCAGATCAAGCGTGGAGAACAACTGTGGTCCAACTTTTGCTTGATCCCTCGCCTCAATTTTCAAGTCGTGTCTTGCTAAAGTTTCCCGGTCCAAGTTGCTTGCTACGGAAATGTCTCCAGTAAGTTTGTCGATTGTGAAGAAGTCAGTTGATGTGAGAAGAGTGTATTGTATATTCCCATTGGTTTCGCTGTCGTTGTCAATTGCTCGAGCCGTGAAGACGACTGAATCCACCTCAATGTTTTCTGCAATCCTTATCACAAATCTAGGTTGGCTGAAAACGGGTGGATTGTCGTTGATGTCCATTACATTCACGGCAATCAGCTTCCATGCGGATTTCTGTGGCATTCCTAAGTCTGAAACCGTGATGTTCAAAATGTAAAATTCTTTATTCTTGCGATCCAGGGGACATACCAGCTTCAAGTCTCCGAGAAACGGATCAATAACAAAACAACCGTCTTCGACGCCGCTTGAAATTGCGTAGACAAGTTTGCTGTTAAGTCCCGTGTCACCGTCTGTGGCTTTGAACTGCACGATGGTTGAATTCAATGGGAAATCTTCGACTAAATCAATGGATCCAGGAATACTCAAGTTAAATTTTGGCGAATGCTTGTTAGCGATATATTTGTCCGAAAAAAAACTGTCGTCTTCTTGGCTGGTTAGAATAGGTTTTATGGACTCGATTAGCTTGTTTGTCACTTGCTTCAAAATATCAGTTTCTATACATTTCAAAGTTGGTTCTTCTCCTTTATCTGTGACTGTAACTCTGACAATAGAGGGGTCAGATTTGTGCTTTCCATCCGTGGCAACAACTCTCAAATTAAAAGCATTCGAATTCGCCGGTATTGGCTTGTTTAGCTTGATGGCCCCCGTTGAATCCATGGTGAAGATTCCAAGCTCGTTGCCAGATTCTATGACATATTTTAAATGCTGCAGTTCGTCTAAATCAATAGCAGAGAGTTTGCCGATAGTTTGCTCGACCGGTGAGTCAATAGGAAGAGTCGTGTTGCAGCCGATTCTTTCGAACAACGGCACATTATCGTTGATGTTGGTAAGGGTGATAGTCACGCCACATTCGTTAACTTGGCTAAACGGACTTCCGCTATCCGACGCCCAAACTCTGAGGTGATATTGTCTTTTCATCAACTCGTAATCCAGGTCTTCAGAGGTGGTTATGACGCCTGTGAATGCATCTATGGCAAATGGTATCGCACCTGTGTTTGCGATAGAATATGTCACCAAGCCGTTCTTGCCGACGTCTTTATCCGTAGCAGAGACTTTTAAAACGCTGCTACCGACCGGGATATTTTCATCCAACATAGCCTGATAGGAATTCTCGACAAACTGTGGCGAGTTGTCATTCTCGTCCATGATCTCAATCACTACATGGGTTTCAGCCTCTCCGTTATTAGCGATAACGTCAAATTCATACCGCTGTTTTGCCTCAAAGTCGAAGTAATCATTTGTCACGATTGTGCCTTTTTTGTGGTTAATTTTGAACTTGGTTGAATCTTGATTTGCTTTTATGCTGTAGGAAATGTTTTGGGATTCTGGTGCGACCGCAACTTTCACCACATGTGATTTTGGTGGCGAGAATTCACTCAAAACAACAATGTAAGTGTCTTCCGAAAAGGTCAGCGGTGTGTAGTGAACGGGCGGGATGTGAATTTGCTTGACCGGAGATAGACTAGTACTATCTTTGGCTTGAAGTGACATGTTCAAACCATGAGGCATCCGCGACCAGCGTATTTTCTTCGTAGATATCACTTGAAAGTCATTGCCTTCGACTCCCAATGGAATTACAGAAAAAAACATGTTCAAATCTTCTTCCATGATCATTAGAGACTCGACTGGTTTGGTGCCTGGTTCTACATGGACATCAATAGTAACTTTTCCATCGGATAAAATTGACGGCTTCGGAGTGGGGGTAATGACTGGGTGAGTTTTGTTTGATTTCTGTACAGTTACAACCACTCTTGCCACGTTGCCAAATTTCTGCACGCCAGAAATCTTCTTCGTCCTGTCTTCCGCCAATACCGTGAGGTCGTATTTCTCATGTCTGGTGTGGTTTAGCTTCTTGAACAAGCTCACGGCTCCAGTGAATGGGTCGACCGAAAACGGGTGAGAGCGAGTCGTGAAAGAATAATAAAACTTGGCGTTGCTGCCCAAATCTGCGTCGGTCGCGCTAACCGTGACCACGCTACTTTGCAGACTAGAATCTTCGCTAATGGCAACGTGGTAAGACGCAGGATAGAAAAGCGGTTTGAGATCGTTGGTGTCTTCAACACGGACTATGACTTTTGTTTTGGCCTTCAAATCAGAAATGCTTTCCGAGGCCTCTACGGTAAGAGCGTAGATATCTCGCACCTCCCGGTTCAGAGAAGCAGAGTATGTGACTTGCGTTTTGATCCTTAGAAACGCAAAATCGCCAACTTGGATTGCCTCGGCTTGGAACAGTTCATCATCGTCACCCGAGACGATATTGAACTTTATGTCCCATAGAAGATCCTTCAGCTGGATGCCCATTTTGATTGGTGTCTCGACATAAGTGCGAGGGGCGGAGTTTTCGAAGATGGTCGTGTTGTAGAGACTGTGGGTGAACTTCATAGGAGAGATGTCTTTGTCCTTTGGGAAGCCACCATGGCAAATCGAGAAGTGAAGAGGGAGAAAGGCTAATGCGACGAGGGCTGTTCCACGAGACGCCATCTTGGAGGCTGCCGAGACCTGAAAGAAGAGAGAGAGAAGGTTTAGCATTTCATAACAATGTCTGCAATCCCCCAATATTCACGATCAAGACTTGGGTTAGAAATGTTTTTGAGAGTTTCCAGGTTAAGATTGCAGAGACAGATGGAGAGGAGGGCAGATGTCCAAGTAGTAGTCAGAAGAGGGCAGTGGAACATTGTACAGTAGGTCCCATTCCGTTTTGTCGCCTTTCACGCGTGAATCACACGTGAGTCTCGTGTGATTCACGCGTCTTTTATTTTCCCCCCTCCCAGTGACGTTGCAATGACCAAAACAACCACCAGGTGGCACTTGTGAGCAGGGTTACATTGGCCAGTCTCTGGAATAACCCGCAGACATTAAAACTACTGCACACTGAGAAAAGTGTTGCAAGCGCAACTTTGAACCTAAGTACTTGTATTTGCAATTTCGGACTTAAAATTTATTCTTATGGTTTTAATATTAGAAAAATAATTTCCATTTACTAAAACAAAAACAATATACCCACAAATACGTTTTGTGTGTGTATTTAACTAAATTTTGAAAAAATATTGTTGGCAGTGCAGTGCTTCTTAAATCTGACGCTATCAATAAGTGTTCAGACAAAGTAATTTCTACTGGGCGGGAGTTTGCTTCCGGTTCGGACCGTTTCCGCGAGCTTGTTGTTGGTGATGGGCGCTGAGCCAGCCTTGGACACGGTCGTGTGGTTTCCCGTGAGATCCAACTCAAAGTAAGATTTTTTAAATATATGGTGCTTTCTCTGTAAGGTTTGTCGCGTATTTGATCAAATATATACAATCTGTGGTCAAATCGTCGTTTTATTTTCTTGGCAGTTCGTGTCCAAAATTACTTCATGTTAACTGTCTACTCTAGCCCCAAACATGTTGTTAGCATAAAACTGTGCCAGTATAATGGTCCTACAATTTCGTTGTTTAGCAAAGTGATTTGTGTTAAGACTCGTAACATTACCAACTACCCCTTAAATGTTCTGAACCATAATAACAGGCGTAGTTTTCGCAGTTTGGAGCTGCTAGCTTCTAGCTAGCTGTTGCTAACGGTACGCAGCTAACATAAGTAGACCAAAGTCGCTACTGTCCTGCTCTGTCTTGTTGCCGGAGGTGCAAGTGGAAAATACATTTGGCAACAGAAGCCACGTGACATTTATTAATCTTCTATTATTTTCTACTCTTGGGGACAGTTCATTTCCCCGCAGAAGTCCCTAGTTACATTAGCTCAGCGGAGCAACTCTCAAGGAGGAGACAGGTGCAGAGCATGGTGCGGAGGCAGAAAACATGTTTATTGCTATCTGAGATCGCTCTGATTTCCTCGCGGTCAGAAAGTAGCTTGTTTCAGCAGAAAACTAACGTTAAGTTAACAGCTACTGCATGTTGTTAATGTTATGACCCGTCCGCATCAGCATCACTGTATTATATCAAGGCCTGTCTGTTTTAGCCAATGTGCAGCTATATGGTTAGTTATGATAAGTTCAAATAAATTCAGAAATCTGCAGCACATTTAAAAAACCCAAACAAAGTATAAGTGATACATTATAAACATGCATTTTTAAAAGAACATACTGAGGGTGACTGCTATAGCCTATTGCAGTCACAAAATTAGAGTGGAAATGTTAAAAATCTAATGTGACTTACATTCGCATTTCATATGAACAACATTTTGGCATGTTAATTTTGAAATAAACGATATTTTGCTGGACAAGTAGGTTTTGTTTCCGGGCAAGTAAAAAATACCTGCCACTTCAAGTACCTCAAAGCACTTAATGTCAAGTCCTGACAAGGTAATACATTCAGCTAAAGACAGGTACATGTTGTGGTATAGCATGTTTTTTGTGGAATCACGTGTAGTAACGCAAAATGCACAAAGCACTTTGTTTGTACTAATCTAATGCATTTCTTATATGTAAAAAGCAGCACCGCCTGTTTAAATGCTTATGATATTTGTCCAATGAAGAGTATTTTTAAGCATGTTTATTAATTTTTTTTTATTTTATTTTAGATTTTTCCTTTCACTGCTGCCAATTGATGGAGGAAAGCTACAGCAGGAGGTAAGTGTGATACAAAAAACTGTTAATAAATTAAGTGAATGTAATGTACTCGCTAGGGATGCAATAGTTTTTTTGGGGGGGGGGCATTATACATTATACATTACACTCACCGCAAGATTTGCGGTGAGTCCTTGGCAACAAGAGAGGAGATTTTCCATCATTTGTCATTATATACGTTTTTATATCTAAATGAACACAATCAGAAATATGAAAACATGTTCAAGATAAGAAGTGCTGAATACTTCCTAATTCGTGGTGTTTTTCATTTCTATGTTGTTTCGTAGGATCCAACCGCTGCTATAGAAAAGAGGAGGGAAGTCGTAATCCGAGGCCTAATTGAATACATGGGGGAGAAGCCAGGAGACTTGATTTCAGATCTACAGGTAAAATTTCCAATCTTTTCTTTTTCAGGGTATAAAAAAAGTACCGTACCTTATGCTGATATGTCTATCATTAAGAGTAGTAGTATCACCAAATCCTCTTCATCCTCTGCATATGCTAAAAGTCAGCATATGCAGATTATTTAAAAAACATTTTGGTCTCATTTGACCATAGAATAATCTACAATCATGTAGAAAAGGTTAAATCATCTACTGGACTGGGTTTTGGTAAAGTTGAGGATGTTTCGCTTTTAGTGACACAAGCTTCTTCAGAGCTCTTAAAGTCATAAAAGAACACTTACCCAAACTGGACTAAAAACTAAAAAGACCCAGGTTCCTTCCAGAAGGAGAGAACCAAAACTGCCAAAAATGTCTATTCAAATTGTTTTCAATATCACTCAACTTTACCAAAACCCAGTCCTGGCGATGATTTAACCTTTTTATAAGATGGACACTCCCTGGATGAATGAGAGCCTTCACAAACATCTGACCATATGACATTCCCCCAGCCCTCTGGATGGAATGGTCACTGGAAAACTTCAGTTGGACATGAATGAACATGAGCTGGCTAAAGCAGCTGGACCTGTATGGTATGAATTAAAGGTGCACCGATCTGATCTGTCACCAATCATGATTGGTCGATCACGGCCTAATTTTTGTGATCGGTGATTGGTGAAATGCGCCGATCAGAGGGGCCGATCAAACGTAGATTTCAGACTTTCTTACAGTAGATAATCTGGTGAAAACTCCACAGTATAGCGCCGCTCTAAACCGAGTTTTAAATGTAATTCGTGGCTACAAAACCGCTCTGGATGAAATGCTCGGCTGTATCCCTCTGCGCATGTCGGCTCTCCTCTTTCCAGACTGCAGTGTAACTAAACAAAACAATGATGAAGCTTGAGCTAACCCGCTATCGCTATGCTTTAAGACAAAAACATGAGTTTGTGACAATAAAATATCAGCGTCTGCTACTTCTAATAGTAGGTAAAGGAGATGATTTGCCATGTACCATTATTTACATTTGCAACTACCGCATGACTTCACATGCGCGCTCCGTAAGTGATACCACAGGATATTTAACGCAAAACTGTGCTATCTGAAACGCACGTGAAACTACAATCAGAGGCAGGGGTCATTGTCCTGTCTTATTTTGCTCTTTAGTACTCACTAAATGGCAGCTCGTCAAAAGGGAAAGTATGTGCGTATGTGTTTGGCACCTCATGTCGCCGTCTCCTTGTGGAAGTTCTTTTCTTTCTTCAAATATTGTCTAATGTTACTGTCAAACTAATTTAGGCAGAAATGTGAGAAATTCCACACAGTGTGCTCACTTTTTCTAAACATTAATTGAACAAACAATATATATTTGTACCGTCAAATAATTCCTGCAACATTATAACATACATAATGGCTGAATTTATGTGTTGTATCAAATATATTTAAGCTGTTACTGATGCATTTAGACACAAATTATGTAATTTAGTGACAAATCTCAAAATTAAACAGATATAATCGACTTGAAAATGTCTGCACAGCTCATCAGCCGTCAGTTTCTCTGAATAGGTTGCGTTCACGTTTTAGAATGTGATGATGGGCAGTTGTCAATACAACTCTATGGGAGAAATACAGTTTTTGTACGAACTCTCAAACAAAAATTGACAAATGTTTTTCCTCTTCAGTATTTGACAGTGATTAGATTTACTAACCCACTTTATTATTTGTATGGCTGAAAGTCCTTTCTACTGACCAACATCACGCTCATCATTTCAAAAATTGTCATTGGTTTATAATATAAACCAATGACAATTTTTGAAATCATTATGTGCTGAAAGAGGAGTCAATGAACTTTGAGACCGTTTTTTTCATGTGGATTCTCCTAGTAATGATCTCAGTCAATACTAGGAGTACTACTACTCATTAACCAAAAACTAAGACAAAAAATATGCAGTTTGCCAGTTACCATAGTTAACGCCATGGAATTTTCACTTGCCCTCCACCTCAGTTTTAAATGAACACGTGAACACAACCTATTGCATTGACTATCAAAACATATCAATGTCTAATGTATTTTTCCCTCTCAAATAGAGTCTGGAGGAAACTGAAGACACTCGGCAGAATATCGCCTATCCAGTGAAGATTGTCAAAGTTGGTGACACGTACGAGATCAGCATTGATGGCCTTCAATGCATTACAGGTTTGGGCACTGTAGCCAAGGCCTCCTGTATTCTTGTTGGCGTTATATATACGCATTGGACTTGAAATACCCACCCAAGCTTCAGCACACATTTGAAACTTTTCAGAGATTACTGATTGGTCTCAGTCCTGTGAAACCAAGAGCATCTGTGAGATACAGTTCACTCCTTAAAAAGCTGTCTTAAAGTTTGAATTAAGGAATCCTCACTTTTGACCCTGTTCTAACATTGTTCAAATATAAAAAGTGTTTGAAAATTCAAAATGGTGAGTTATAGAGGCTTAGAAGCACAATGTATCAGTTTTGTGAACTGCAACTGCATGTTTGTGTGTTGCAGCAGACACCTTTGTAATTCCCTCTGCAGTAGATGTAGCCATTTTTTTTTTTTTTGTCCTAGGGATGTGGATTGTTCATTTGGGAATTATCTGTTCACTCACTATGATTTAGTAATTTTACACATTGTGTAGGACAGGGGTTCTGAAACTTTTAAAGGCAGGAAAACAAAATCAAAATTTGGATGAAAAAATTCATTTCACATTGCCCTTTTTATTGGTAGTTGTTTCCTTTTTAAAATATTGTATATCACAAGGAATTGTTTTTTTTATATATATATATATATATATATATATATATATATATATGTGTATTTGATCAGACTCCCTCTAAATACAACTTCAGAATTTGAATGAGACGTAAACGACTAGAACATGATTAAAACCAAAGTCCTTCAAGAAAGTTTTTAGAAATCTTTAAAAAAAATGTCTACTCATCTTTTTACTTTTTTTTGTTGTTAAAACTGGAGTGGTAAGGAAAAATGGTACAGAGTTCTGTTGGAAGATAAATATTAATGTTTCAAAATGTAATATTGAATATATAGTTACATTTAAGTGTACATATTGAAAAATAAATGTTGACGTGGAAAAGCTTTAAAAGGTTTTATTTTTTCAGAACACAAGCATATTGGTATAAATGTTTATTTTAAAGTCATGTAATTTTTTATCAGAGCTGACATTCTTGAAAATGTTTTATGAGTTTTCTGAGTTTTGTGAAGTACCGAGTTTAAGTATTGAGTTATGATGTTATGTTGCTGTTTATCGATCCTGATGGTCACACGTGAATGTATGACCAGAGGGGGGGAATGTGAGATTTCATAACACTTTTAAGCAACTTTTGTTAAAGTTAAACTCATCATTCTATCAATGTGCAGAAGCCTGTACTTTTCCACTTCATGTTTTGTCTATCTGAAGGCCAAGCTACAAGTACAACGTGGAAGCTGCTGATTGGAGGTCTCCATGCCTCCGCTCTGTATAATACACTTGCATTCTGTTGTATCTGTTGTTCGTGCTGTCTCTACCATCGACAATAAAACATGTCTTCTGTCTGAATTTAAGACGCGATCCCAGACTTGGCACATCTTCTTCAGGTGGTGGAAGGATGCGGGCCTTGTCTGTAACATCTAGAGAACAGAAGACATTTGCATGTCAAATGAGGTGATGACCGAAACAACAGGGGGCTAGGGTGGGCTTTGTTTATTCGTCTGGGGGAGGAAGGCCCAGTCCCAATACCCACACTGCACCCTACGCCCTCCTATGAAGTGTGCATTTGTTTGAAGTGCGCGCAAGGGTTTGAGTGCGCAGGTTACAAGTGTGCACAAAAGGTGGAATTGGGACAGTGCACACTGAGTGCAGGTTACGTCATCGACTCGTCAAGAGATGGTCATTTTCAGACCTAAACTTTATACAAATTAAAGGTAATTTTGTCTGATCCTTTGGGAAACTAAATGAATTGCTTCACACACGTTAAAATACATGTATATTAGTGGTTTCTAATTAGAGATAGCTGTATAATTTTAAGTTAAATGTGGGTAACTAACTGTTATCTGGTCAGTTTTTATACATTCTAAGATTATTGTACTAAGTGTAAAGTTTAAATTGAATGTTATATAAACGCTTGGTTTAAAAGTTATTAAATTGTTAAAACACAATGTCCGTGATTCTTCATCAGACGTTTATGCTTCTTTCCAAGTAACATTGCAAAACTTATTTACACACATACTGCATATATATTTCAAAATGTATATTTAAATGCATTTTCCCGACGTTTTGGTGTGTACCGCAAAGAATTATGGGCAATATCCTCGCCAGAGTGCGCATAGATGCAGGCTACGGCGAAGTGTGGATCAGGGGCGCAAAGGGGGCGGGGCCAAAGACCTCCCTGGAGAATTGGGACACCCTACGCACTCGCACCCTTTATCGGGAACGCGCAAATGAGGGGCGCGAGGGTGGAAGTGCGAGTATTGGGACGGGGCCGAAGGGCTGCGAATGAGTGACTTCCAGACTGTGAACCCTGAGAATTAATATACTGTATATATTTTGTAATAAAATTTTTAACACAGTATGTTTCATTCTGACTGAAGCACATGATAATGTTATAAAACAGTATGTTTCATTCTGACTGAAGCACATGATAATGTTATAAAACAGTATGTTTCATTCTGACTGAAGCTCATGATAATGTTATGTGATGTGAGAAATGCACTAAAGCCACTGGAGAAAAACTGTAACTATTCAGATCCTCCCCCTCCCCCTAAGATGGCAAAGTGAAGCTCAGCCTGTGATAACGGCCCTATTTACATAACAAAGTTGGCCGTTCACAGGTGATTTCGTTTGTTAGCTAAAATCCTTGGGGTCATTTGACACCGTGGAGGGGATGATAGGTATAAGTGCCAAATGACACCTCCATGCGAGTGCTAGTGTTAAAGCTGCTTTCAATATCTTTTCAAATCTGTTTTCCTTTTCTCCATAGCATGTCTGTAACAAAAGTTCTCATAATCTGAAGTCGGCGTATTTACATGGTTTTATGAAACAGAATTCTGAGAAAAACAAGTTTAAAGATCGACATTCCAAACATAATCATCACAGTCACATATAACATGTAAATTTTGAATTACTCTGTTATGGCACACTTGTTTTAGTCACTATGTTGTAGAAGATTAAAAAGATGTTACTTTGGCACCAATTAAACACACAACACTCATGAATTAGTCGAAAATCAAGAATGTATTGATTCTTTCAATATTCAATGGATTGAATTTTGACCTCCTCTTCTTTTTCTTTCTCTTTATAATAGGGCACTGTCCGGTTTCCGAAATGTGCTAAAAAAAACAAATAGCTCAGATGACTGCGCATGCGCGCATGTTTCGGACAAACATTGTGTACGACTCGTTGAGTTCTACTGTGTTCTCCTCATACGCGTGTGTATTTATTTGGGCTAAATCATTGAATCATGGTGACAACAAAACACTGCAGTTATGGTGCTTGTGGGAGCGATTTCAGATACTCTGAAAAGGACTATATGAAAGTAACATTCAACCCGTTCGTTAAACCACAACATCGGACCAGACCAGGACCAGACCAGGACCAGATCAGACCAGGTGGGTGCTTGTGGTCGGCAGAATTTCTCTCATGAAAAGGTTAAAAAGGGCACATGTTTTTTCAAAACACTTCGCTGGACCAACTGTGGAGCCTCCAGATCCAGTCCTAGCTACGTTTAGCTGGGACTGGATCTGGACCGCTGTATCAGGTCCGTCTGAGCTCTTCTGAATGTAGTTAGCACAAACTTTCTCTTTACACCATTTACCCCCATCAATCCATATTAGTATTGTTTGTCCTAATCCAGAAAGTATACAATTCTCACACCTGAAGAAAGATGAGAGGGATTTTTTTCAACTTTGTGTCTGCTTATTATACGGCTTTGTACCAATTGAACACACAAAATAAACGTCATTCACTACTCATGCCGAAAGGTTTATTTAATGAGTGCAAAGAAAATAGTTCCCAAAGGTTTTCCCGTGGCAGGCGAGTAACAGTGAGGATAGTTAACCTAAAAGCGATCGCTTTAGTCGCATTAAAAAAGTATTTTTGTCATGAAAACCTGAACAGTTAATTCTGAAAACCTCCGTGCACTTGTGTTATGAATGTGTATAATGTATTCTCCCATTAACATTTAAA